ACCTGTCACTTTAAAGTAACTCCAACTTCAAAATAGAGCCAAAATTGGCCCTCCCTGGTGGTGCAGCGGGGTAAAGCACTGCACTAAGAAGCTGAAACCACTTCTGCATGAGTTCGATTCCCACCTGCCCCAGAGGTGACCACATGGTGTGGCAGACCTCTCCTGACCTGCCCGCTGCTCCCCCCAGCAGTGTACTTCGTCGATCGTGTTCTGCTCCCCACTCTGTCTCTGGTGAAGTCTTTTGCTACCCCTGAATCTCTGACCTGTACCCCAGTTCTGTATGCACAAATAAATAAATCTTTAAAAAAAAATAGAGCCAAAACTTTGTGTGATCTGCATTGTTTTTAGCCAACAAATACTAATCAGTGATCAGATACCTGGTATATAGGAACTGAGCTAAAGGCAAAGAGTAGAAATACTCCCAGATCTCCCTGGCTTGGCAGATAACAGCCACCAAGCCATGGTAGGCGTCAACAAGATGCTGTTCCAGGGGAAAGGCTGTCTTGTGTTTTCATTCTATCTTAGAGGTGAAAACTAACCTTTTTTTCAGTGTTAATCACTAGAAAAATTTTTTCTCCCTGTGCAATGGAAACAATCTCTAGTTTGTCACTAACATTGTACATACAAGATAATTTCAGAACAAGGTTATTTCATCTAAGAGCGAAAGCAGCATCTGAGAAGGCCAACTCGGCAAAATAGAGACAGATGCTATCTCAAAACCCTCTGAATAATGTGAAACATTACAGTTCAATGTCTTCCACTCAAATGAGCTTCTGGGGATGATTAGGCAAGGATTTCATAGAAATACAAGCAGGACATCCCCTGAGGGGCCTCTGCTGAATGGGTTCAAGCTCGAAAGCAACACAGCTCCGGAAATGTTACACGTCCTTTTATGATCCACACTTCTTAATCAGCTTGTGAAAATCCAAAAGCAACCAGGGCTCCCATACAGCTGTCAAACAACCAAGCAGTGCTTCTCAGACTCCCAAATATAGCCAAGAAGGGGTTCCAGTTCTGTTCTCTCTTACCAGAATTGTGAGTGTGTGTCTTTATGCATGTTTTGAAAATGAGGTAGCAAGGAAGCTCCGTTTGGACATGAAGATCCAAAAAGCCTTTCCATTCTTTCCACAGAAAATCTAAACAAAACTGTGAATTTTTAAGCTTTAGAATGAGAAATGCCTCAATATTACAATCATGATCTTATTAACCAAATCACTCTCAAAGACTTCCAAAAATACTGATAATTTATTGAAACTAATTTGGAAAGCAAATTCATGTTAAGAAAAAATTCTGTATTGCAAAAGTTGTTTTGAGAGAGAAATTTTAGTTCTGTTTTAAACTTGGATAATTAATCTGAAACAAATCATTCATATTTCATAATAAATCATATCATGCTTAGAAAACATATTGAAATTCTTAGAAAAATCCAGATATTAATCATGTCATGGAGAAAAATTCCCATAGAATCTGGCTGTGAAAGAGCATTAAAATATCTTATTAGCCAAAGAAGCAAAGACAATACAATGGAACAAAGAAACTTTGTTCAACAAATGGTGCTGGGAAAACTGGGAAGCTACATGCAAAAAAATGAAACTAGAGCACTACCTCGTACCATACACAAAAACCAACTAGAAGTGTATTAAAGACCTAGACATAAGAATGGAAACCATAAAATACCTGGAAGCCAAGATGGTACATTACACGACATACACTTCATTAACATCTTTAAAGGCAGAGCACCCAATGCAACGATAGTGAAGGAAGGGATAAAGAGATGGGACATCAAGTTAAAGAGCTTCTGTACAGCAAAATAGACATTACAAAAAAAAAACAAGCACACATCCCACTGATTGGGAAAAATTTTTCTCACACAATACTAATGATAAGGACTGATCACAAAGATATACAAAGAACTGATGAACCGCAACAAAAATAAACAACCCCATCAAAAAATGGGCAGAAGAGCTAAAAAGACACTTCTCCAAAGAGGAAATGCAGACGCCCAACAGGCATAAAAAAATGTTCAACATCACTTGTGACAAGGGAGATGCAAATTAAAACCACAATGAGATACCACCACGCCCCAGTGAGAATGGCACATCTTCAAACAACTAGCAACAACAAATGTTGGCAAGGATGTGGAGAAAAAGGAACTCACCTACACTGCTGGTGGGAATGCAAACTAGTACAACCACTGTGGAAAACTGGAGGTTTCTCAAACTGCTAAACATGGAACATACATATGAACCAGCAATCCCACTCCTAGGTATCTATCCCAAAGACACAAAAACACTGATTCAAAAAGACACCTGCACCCCCATGTTTATTGCTGCTTTTTTGCAATAGGAAAGACATGGAATCAACCCAAATGCCCAAAGATGACTGGATTAAAAAAGATGTGGTACATATGCACAATGGAATATTACTCAGCAACCAAAAAAAAAAAAAAGAAAGAAAGAAACACATGTCTTTTGCAGCAACATGGATGGAGCTGGAAAAGATAATGCTTAGTGAAATAAGCCAGAAAGGAAAGGAAAAATACCGATGGTTTCTCTCATAGCAGGAATATAATAGAACAGGCGATAAAATAATAATGATTAACAGCAATATACCAGAGACATTTTGTGGGAGTGGAGTAGGGAATGGGATCAGAAACAGTGGGAGGAGGGACATGCACTGGACTATGGTGATGGCACATGGGTGATTTGGTGATGGGAAACCCTAGAGGATTGCAACTGAGATGCAAAAATGTACAAAAATATGTAAAAATAAAATATTATAAAATTAAAAAGATGTGGAACATATACACAATAGAATATTACACAGCAATCAAAAAAGATAAGCTCATGCCTTTTGCAGCATCATGGATGGAGCTAGAAGGGATCATGCTTAGTGAAATAAGCCAGAAAGAAAAAGAAAAGTACCAGATGGTTTCACCCATAGCAGGACCATAAAGGACCAGGGGAAAATAATGAACTATATACCATAGTTCCACGGAGGTGGAGTGTGGAATGGGATCAAAAATGGGGGTGGGGGAGAAGTATACGGGATTATGGTGATGGCACATGGGTGAACAGGTGATAGGAAGTCCATGGGGATTACAACTGAGATGGAAAAAAGGCATATGATGTAAAAATAAACTATTATAATAATAATAAAAAAATCTTTTCAGCTATAAGGCACAGAACCCATGTGACTTTCCTGAGATTTAAATATATCTGTTTGGGGGATAGATGTAAAATAGACTATGAGTTGTTTGGATACTGGAGCATCTATATACAGCTCTACAGCAGGATCCAGGAATAACTAGGCAGGTGGCCCTCCCCTTGAAACTAACCTGCATGAAAATGGACAAAGTGTTTGAGTAACATCTTGAAACAAGACTCTTGGAAGACAGACCAAACATTTGTCCTCTGGCTGCTACAGCTGTTGCAAATATTCAGAATCCAGAGATAGCTTTCTTTGAGCTTCCCAAGGTAGGAAGCCAGAAAAGGGAACAATAGGGTGGAGAAGGCCTCTAGGGTCATTCATGCCACTGCCTCTTTCCACCCTCCAGGAAACTATAAACCTGACAAGTTAAAGATTTAGTAGAAAATGTTGTCTAAGTTTTCTGTTCAAGGTTACACTTCTCAGCAAGAAACCTGAAGCTCAAATATTGTCATCCATATATTTTCATAGCCACAGACTCTATAGGGGAAGCCTTGGAGAATCCACAGGACTTTCCAATTATAGCTCCCTTACTGCTCTGTCTGCCTTCAGGTGAATGAATGCTTTGGTTGAGCCAGCTCACGTTGCAGCTGCAAGGACCAAAACCCTCAAGATCAGGCTAGAGTTAGAAGAGGATGGAGAGGTCAGGAGGCTGTGGCGGGAACCTGGTGACCAGAGAAGTGAGACAGATGTTTCTTGAAGTCAGAGATTATGATAAACTGTCCCACAAAACTGGCCCTTAGAAAATGATTGTTAAATGGTGAGTAAAAATATCCTGGTTTGTCTTCTCCTGTCACACTGCCACACATGAGAGCTTCCCCCAATGGCTTTTACTTTACAACCATGCTCCCTCAAATGTATAGTATTTTCAAAATAAAAGTGATGAATTGTGGTCAAAATACAGCCTTTATCCCGTCAAAATTGTAAGCACAGAGATTCTGACAACAGTAGGAAATACACACAAAGGACTAGCCAAATATAGACTCACAGACAGACAAGGCTATTTCAGAGTTGAAGATTAACAAGATCAATTTTGAAGTTTCTACCTTCATCTAGGGTATGGATGTCAGTGACTTATGTGTGTGCATGCGTCTTAGTCTCATGTTTCAAACTCCACCCTTCCAGTTATCACAGACATCATTTTATATAACCCACAGAAAATGAATCACTTTATAGATAAAGTGGCAATTTAGAATTTGTGATCTACTTCAGCTGGTTGTGAGAACAAAAACATTAAAAGGCATTTCTACTTAGAATTAATGAATGCTTGAAAACACAGTATTCCAATTTTATATTTTAGCTGTCAAACGTATCAATAAGCACTAAATTAAATCAATAAGCATTGAAATAATAAATCTGTCAATTTCAAAAGCTATCAATTTGTCAACAGTATGTGATAATACATTGTAACAAATTTGCCATCTAGTGAGAAGGCACCAACTAGACAGGCAACAGACCCCCATAAGCAGGGGTCTAAGCATTTATCATCACTGAATCCAGCACCTGGCACATAAATGTTTGTTGGCTAAAAGGATGACATGGACAGATGACAAAAAGGAACAGAATGAGCATTTTCTATCTACCCACCCCCCAAATCAGCTTGTACTTGAAACAACCAAAGAGCCTGTTTTGAAGGCTTAACTAAATAATTAAATGGTTAATCTGCTGAATATATGCTATACCGTTAAAACAATGTGGAACTCTAAAAGCTTCCCTCTAGTAAACTATCAGTAAACTATCTAGTACACACCAAGAACAGTCAGAGAGGAGCAAATGTCACCCTCCACACTCACCCGCCATGTCGATGGCAAAAGGCCGGTCTGGTCTCCAGCCTGTGTACCAACCAACGACTTTGCCGTTTTCTACCAAGGGCCGTTCATAGCGTCGCCCACCAACCAGGCCCACAGGCCAGACAGAGACCTTGCGTGTAGTTCGCATCTGTAATGAGAAAGAGATGTGGTTAACTTTCCTTGGGGAGAAGAACATGGAAGAAAGAAAAGAATGTGTGTTTCATGGAAAAAATGGGAGGGGGAATGAGAAGTTCAAGCACAACTACCAGTCCACTGTGGATAGCTGCCCAGTGTCTTCAGGATCTGCGCTCCATCACAAACCCAGTCAGGGGCACAAGACTTAAAAGAATAAAGGGTGTCACTATCTGAACATCACTTATTTGAAAATAAATTGACTAGTTTCAATTTGTCTCAAAATTGAGTTTTGTAAACAATGCTCTATGTCTCCTGAGATGGTCTGGTTTCCCCTTACAAAACTATTATTCAGTAACACCAAAGATCTCAGAGGAGTCACAAGAGTTGCCTTTCTCCAAAGTCACTGCTACAGACACACAGAAATATTGTCTGGGGGCATTAATAATGGGATCCACACACACAGAGATTCTAGGATCCTTCAGGGTGACAAAAATTCACCTGCCTTCAAGGACAACAAGGCCAAACTGGAGAGGAAAACACCATACACACCACATGCAAGTACACAGGTGGAGCTCTCATTAAAGAAAACCCTCAGCTAAAAGTTCTTTGCTGGGAGGTAAGAGGAAAAACGTTTATAAGAAAGCTTGCTTACATAAAGCAGCGCTTCTTGGGAAAACCACTGCCACCTGTTGTAGGCCCCATGTTGAACAGGCCACAGTCCACATGGCACCTTTGTGCAAACAAAAGGTGGCCCTTTCTGGCCAGACACACTCATGCTTGAGCCATGGTTTGTCTGTCCACACGCAGGCTGATTTCAGTTCTACTCACCCTCTCAGCTGGGTGTGTCCTTGGGCAGGGCACTCCCTGCAGTTTATAGAATCATAATCTTAATACCAGTGCTTTATTTTTTGTTTGTTACAGAATGGGTCATGATCAGCCAATGGTTAAAATAATGATTATCAAGCTGGAAATTCATAAAGAAAGGTAAATTTAACACTTGAAAAAGATTTTCAAATATAATGCAAATGAAAAGTCAATGTTGTTTGAGCGATTCTAGCTCATTTTCATTTCCATATGGATTTCAGATTCAGGTTGTCATTATCAGCAAATATTGTTATTGCACTGAATTTATGTAACAACTTGTGACTGCACTGAATCTGTCAATCTGAAGAGTATTGACATCTTAATATTGAGTCTTCTAAACTATGAACATGATATATTTCTCTATTTAGAACTTTGATTTCTCTCAATTCTGGTGATTTAATTCTTGAATCAATAGCATTTAATAACTGTTTTAGGTCTCTTATGGGTGGAAAAATCAATGTTTTACTAAAATTCTTACAAAAATTTTCTCCCAACTTACTCCACCTTTAGACTCATGTTCCCTCACATACTGCATAAAATGAAATTTTTTATGTCAATTGTAATTTTTTTAAAAGGTTTATTTACTTATGCATACAGAACTGGGGTACAGACCAGAGGTGCAGGGGTGGTGAGAGGATTCACCAGAGACAGAGTGGGGAGCAGAACAGGCCAACTGATGAAGTACACTGCTGAGGGGAGTAGCGGGCAGGTCAGGAGAGGTCTGCCTCACCATGTGGGTCACTTCCGGGGTGGGGTGGGGATCGAACTCATTCTGAAGTGGCTTTGGCTTCTTAATGCTGTGCTTTAACCCGCTGCACCACCAGGGAGGGCCCCAAATTGTAATTTTTTATATGACAAATCTGCCAAGTATACCTAGAAACAAATTTAATACATACGTTTTTCTTAAATTAACAGAATGAGCTTAAAGTTTAAGGCACTAAAAATTATACTGTATTCTTTTTCATATTTCCTTAAAACGCCTAAGATTTTTAAACTCCTTTTGCTCAGACCACTAAAATTTCTAATCCTATGAAAATATGGTAATTAGACCCTATCTTAGTCTTTGGTGTTCCCCAGAATGTGTAGAAGGCTGTACCCTCCTTACAGAAGGTGACAAAAAATTACTGATTAGGGTGTAAGACCAGTTAATCATTAAATGTAGGTCACATGTACCAAACAATCAGCATCAAGGAACAAGCTTACAATCAAAAAGGAGACAGTAAAAGAACTGAGTACAGAAATAGCTTTAAAGTAGCAAAAGAGAAATTAACCATTAAAGAGAATAATAAACCACATGTGAGACCACTACTAAGGGAACAATAAAAAATGCAGAGAATGTTTTGAGGTAGGCATTTCATTTAAGTTGGGCCAAGACAGACAAAGGAATTTGCTCACGGAATGCAGAAAGACCTAGGGTTCCAGGTAAAGACAGGAATCACAGAAACAAGAGTTTTCAAAGTTTCATGCTAGAAAGTGTAAGTTTTGCTTAGCACAGTACAAATTCCTGAGAGTGGCCTGGAGATAACCTTTATGTTTTATCTTTTCAAAGGGTCCTGTGTGACAGGTGAAAGAATGGCTACTGGAATGCAGGTGATGCAGCAGTAGATCTGCAAGGACGCCAAGTCAGAAAAGCCTGTCATTTAAATACTGCAATGCTCTGGAAAGACCCAGATGCTCCAAGATCTCGGGGAATGTCAAGCCACAGAGAGAGACACAGCCCCTCCATGCGCAACCACAGTACTGTACATAGTGGGCCAGACATTTCAAAGGAAAATAGCACAGCTATTTACAGAACTTCTTCAGTCCCCCCCTGGGATCTTTCCTTTGTTCTGTGTCCTTTTCATTCAATCTATGCTCTTTAAGGATTCCTTGGCAGACACATTCTTTTCTGAGGGAGAAAAATGTTAACAATGGCTGGTACTATTAAAAGTTATAAGCACTCTCATATAAATAAAATATTCTCAGAATTGAAAAAGCTTTTCTACTTTCTTAACACAATATAGTGGCTAAATAACTACTGGTACCTGGTGTGAGCTCCAACCTAAAATGGAGAAATATTAGGAAAAAGAGAAAGCAATTCACATATTTATGAGAGTTACAACATTACAAGCAGGTTTACTCCCCAAACACATTCCTTTCCTATTTGACTCTTTTTTTCCTCTTGCCATAACTTCCAATTAAATGGACAGGACTTGTATAGCAATGCTGGCCAGTCAAAATCACAGGCAGAATAATTTTCGTAGATCCACTGACTACAAAGACACAGAGCTCCATTTGCTATATCTCCACACTCCTCTAGGCTAAATGCCATTTAAACGATCCCAAAGCAAGTAGTGTTTGTTCGTCTTCTTTAGGAACTGAGGGAGGTAGATATGCTCACTCCTATGTCTGGTGATCCTCATCAACAACCAGCTCCTGTTTCAATATCTTTCTGTACCTCTAGGCTGTATCTCTTTGGTCTCTCCTTGGAAGATGCCGAACAGCCAGCTCTAGGGACTAAAACACTTCACAAGATCACATCCAGATGATCACCAGAATGCCCTTTGAGTAAAACAGAAAAAGGTAAACAAATGCTTTTAATTTCCTTGAAGACATACCACTAGGTGAAATCTTGTTTTATTGTTTCCAAAGGGAAATGAATATAGTTCTTCATCTGCTGAAATTTAAAATGCTATAGGCAACCTCAAGAAGTAGAATTACAAAAGAGAATGTTAAACTCTGTATCCTGCTTTCTAAACTAATATTTCAACAACAAAAACAAAACAAAACAACTAACCACCATCCCAATCCAACAGAATCCAATGATCTAAAGCACAAAGGAAAATACACTGTATAAATACGAAGGGACAAAGCAGTGATGGCCCGAACAGGGGGTCCTTTACAATGTCATGGTCTCATACACATCTGATATTTTCCAACATATAAACTATATTTAAATGACCCAACAGATTTATAAATTTTCTTTGGAACAAGTTAGACGATTAACACATGCTCATTTTAATTTCTTGCACCTGCCCCCTAAATAATTTCACCATTCAGTTCCCTTAGTTATTTGGCTCAAAGTTATGATCTACATAGTGTTGTGCCATAACTTGTGCTGCTTTGGACCTTTTTTGGGTCTGTTTTGATTTCCATACACTGTCCTTTTCACAGCATAAACTTTTGAGATGCATAAACTAGGAGTACTATTGCAGGCTCTCCCTGGTGGCGCAACAGATTAAGCACCGCATTATGAAACTCTCGGAAGCCACTGCAGCATGAGTTCAACCCCTGGCCAGGGAGCTGACCCACATGGGGTGGGCAGACCTCTTCTGACCTACCTGCTGCTCCCTTCAGCAGTCTATTTCAATAGATCTGCCTGTTCTGCTCCCTACTCTGTCTCTGGTAAATCCTCTCACCCATCACATCTCTAGCCTGTACCCAAGTTCTGTAAGCATAAATAAATAAATCTTAAGAAAAAAAATACTATAGGGCACAGAAATGTTCTTACTAATACCTTCTCAATCCTTCTCTTATGACCCTTCATAGAAGACTGAGTCCAACATTTCTCACTTCCTCACTTTTTCTCTAAGTATCACGTAACTTATGTACACCCAGGCTTGTAAGCAAAACGGACTTTTCTATAAAATCTTCCTTTATCTATGAAGCCAACATTCTGTGAAAGATAAAGCAATGTGCAAAACTAGCTACAAGTTTAGTTACTTAAATTCTATGCTGATGAGGACTATGAGGGAAGTAAATGATGCTGGGAGAGCATGCTGCAGAGAGTCTGACATGGGATCTGCTGAGGCTTCCACAAAGACATCAGCATGAGATAAGCAACACTAAACACTGTGGAATATAAGATCAAAAACCTTCCAGAAAGAAAAGAACTCTTATGTCATGGACCTTATGTCATAGCATTCCACTTAAAAATAACCAACCTGGCCCTCCCTGGTGCGCAGTGGATTACAGCACTGCACTAAAAAGCTAAAGCCACTTCCGCATGAGTTCGATTCCCGCCTGCCCCGGAGGAGACCACATGGTGTGGCAGACCTCTCCTGAATCGCCCACTGCTCCCCTCAGCAGTGTACTTCATCGATCTGTCTGTTCTGCCTCTGGTGAATTCTCTCACTCTCCATATCTCTGGCCTGTACCCCAGTTCTGTAC